CTCTCTCTCTCTCTCTCTCTCTCTCTCTCTCTCTCTCTCTCTCTCTCTCTCTCCTTCTCTCTCTCTCTCTCTCGCACGCGCGCGCGCGACTTTGGCAAAATTTGCCAAATTTTCCGGAGGTCCCTGGGAAGTTGAACTTTCCAGGTTGTACCCCGGAATGGTGAAGTATCTGCGTTGAATCAAGTTAAGGGAAAGCGGGAAAAGGGAGGTTTTTGGAGTAGATACGTACCGAGAATAGGAAGGAGAGAGTGTAATTTGCCAGTTTTTTACGTGAGGTACTACTTTACGTGTTCCTTTTCTGTTATTTATTTTTTTGGTTTGATGTGTCAAACCCAATTTGTTTCAAATCATATCCTTCCTTTTTTGGAATTTTGGTTCAGCCCCTTGTCCAAGAGCGGGGTTCCCGTTTTTGTGTCCATATGTCGATTTCCATTTTATTTTTTATTTTTTCTTTGATCTTTTTTCTGTTCCGTGAAAAGGCTAAGTCGCTTCCTCTCGTTTCTGAAAAACCCTGTGACGTCGCTTAATCTCCCCTTCTAAGACTGTGGAGTGATCTGGTATATGGGAGGGTTTTTGAGTCACAATTGAGGTTTCTTCCATTCAGCACGTCCGGGAGACGGACAGAGGGCGGGAGCCGAGAATCCCGGCACACAGGGTGATCCCGAACGAACGAAAAAGGTATACACTAATGGGATGTGTTTGCCAGGAATAGGCGGAGACCAGAGGCTTGACAAGAAGAAAAAAAGAGACTGGGGATGACTCAACCTGGCAATGAGGAAGGCGAGCATGATTGGGGGAAGAAAAAAAAATTAGAAAAGGAGGAACGCACAGAGATGGGATCTGAGATTCGGGATGAGGAGAAACAACGAAAGTAGGAAGAGGCAGGGGCGAGAAGCGGGAAGGCGCCGATGAAGGAGGGAAGTGAAGGAAGGGAGAGGGAGCGAAGTCCGGCAGGGGGAGAGGGCAGGAACGAAGAAAAGGGAAGTCCATAGGGTAAACGGCGATAGGGATGATCAAAGGACGGAGGCAAAGAATACGCAATCCAGGAATAGGGAATCAGAAGAGATGAAGGACAGTTTTTGCCATACGAGGAAAGAAGAGGGAAGAGCGGGGGATCTGGGAAAATAGAAAAAGACCGCCGAAGGAGATAGAAATGTTCAGAGGAGAGGCAGCGACATGAGTGGTAAAGTTAGAAGGGACAAAGATTGATACATGCAGATAAGGAGTCGGGAATTGGCAAGAAAAGGAGGGAAAGAGACGACAGCGAGGGAGATAGGAAAAGGAGAGAGGAGATAATAGGGAGGAAGAGGAGCGGATCGGATAGAAGGGAGAACGTAGGTAGGAGTAGATGAGCACAGTTGGGCGATTGATCACGTACGAGAGAAGGACCCGTTGTCGGCGCGAATACCCTTACAAGGGTATCCGCCCTGGTTTTTGCAAATGACAGAAAAATGAGTTTGGCTTAGAGTTAAGTGTATCGCGCAAGGCGCGGCTGTGTCTGCGTCGTTACGATGGGCGGATGGTTGACTAGAACAAAAAGTGTGTGGGCGCGCGACTTTGAGGAGCGCGCTATCTTTTTTAAATTTGGTTAGCGATGGAAGAGTCGGCATGGTCGCCGACCGTATTTTGTTTTTTCTTTTCTATTTACTCGATCAAGCGGGCCGTGGATATACAAACCTATGACGGATCCAAATGGTGGGACCTCAGGGATACGGCTAAAGTAGGGGTAGCTGCGGCACGATTGGAAGGCCGACGTGGACTTTCGGCGGCCGTATGGGGAGGCGCATGCTGAGGAATGGTTCAGGGCGCTCTCGTGGCCCTAAACGCCGAACTGTACCACTTCATATAAGGTCTAGAGCCTAGTAGCATCAGGCTTGGGCTTAGCCCTATAGGTTACAGCATTGGACTGCTATTACGGAGGTTCGGGGATCGAGGCCAGAGGGCGCTTGCGTAGCAGCAGCAGAGCTGCGTGGAGCGAAGCCTGAGGGGTTGAGGGCCCGGCGGGGTTATCCCCCTCGGTTTTATTAGGGGGCATAGCGGCGGGTCCGATCGGGGTGCCAGCGGTTCTGCCGGTTCGAGGTGCCAGCAGTCCCGCCAGTTCCCCTGACAATCTGTGTTATTTTGCTTTTTTTATTTTGTTTTCACGTATTAACTTTTGTTTTCTTATTTCCTTTTTCTCGCTTTTATTATTACTGTTCCCGTGCCCCGTTTGGGGACGCAAAGCTGTGGGTGGTGCGGGACCCAAGAGCCTGGCTCAGCGGGCACACCATTGAACTGTCGAAATACAGGCCTGGGTCTGAGCCCAGAAGGTGGAACTGGGGGCTGGGGCTAGATGTCTCCGCGGACCAGGCATGGTCCTTCGGGACAAAAATTGGAACGATACAGAGAAGATTAGCGTGGCCCCTGCGCGGGGAGGGTATGTGTAAAGCGGAGGAGGGGCCGTGCGCTCTTGCTTCCCTCCTCCGCCAGTTATCGGTTTCACCAGAGTCAGAGGTTGGTCGATCCAGCAGGCGGGTCGCTGCGCACTCCTTAGCGGAGCTTGACTTTCGAGGCCACCGCCCTGATATCTGTGTCAATCGACACTTCGGTGATGTCGGGGCTAGTGCATAGTTCAGCCACGGTTCRGCGCTGTAGCAGCGGCCAGTGTAGGAGTACGGAGGCAGTGACGGAGGGGAGGAATCTGGCCTGGTTCAGTGCCAGGGTACATGCGAAGAGAGGGGGTGAGTAACGTGCGCTAAAATAAGCAAGGAGAGGCTGGTGGGGAGGCAAAAACGGGGAATGAACCCGGATGGGTTCCCGCACCGGGGACATGCGCAGAGTAGTAAGGGGGGTTGGGCCAGACAGTGAGGCAAAGGTCGAGCGCCTCAGCGYCGAGTGCTGTTGAGCGGGCTKGTGTCGCAGGTAAGTCCCTATACTCCCCCTGTCGGACCTCGGAGTTCCCGGCTGTCGTAACGCTGATGGGCATCGACTGCGTTGGGCGCTGCCGGATTGCTACTTGGTGAAGGCTGCATAGTAGTATGCGGAGTAACGGGGCGCAGCACTGCTGCTGAGTAAGGCGGAGCAGTGCGCTTGACAGTTGAGCCATGAATACCTCCAGGTGTTGTGGGAACTATGGACTGCATGGAGTAGAAAGGGGGGTTGAATGAATATGGGCGTCGTTTCCTCCCAGGTGCATTCGACAGTGGAGGCTATCGGAGATGGCGGGGCAGTGAGCCAGGGCGCAGCAAGGGAATGGGAGCGCACGTTGTACTTCATAGTTTTMGACGAGGAAAGAAAGGCGTGGCGAAGTTGATTATGAGCGGAATCGAAACAGGAGGAGGGATAGCTGTGTATCGAAGACTACCCCTTTGCCCGGTGCGTGGTTCAATATGTTGGAGGGAGCAGCTTTGATCGATCCCGTCGCGGGGCGCCGCTTGGGAAATAGGGTGTATCTGTCCGCGTTTTAGCGAAAGATTCATTCTATTTCTGCCCGCCATCACCATGGGAGTTGAGACGGGCCAGCATCGGGGTTGGAGACTTGCCGGGTGACCGGAGCATTGTTCGTCTTGAAGAAAAGAGCATCTGGACATCTTCCCTCTCCTTCTCCCTCATATCACACGTACACTAACAATCTAGTTAAACGGTCGGGATTATTRCGCCACGTGGAAGTGCACGAACGTGGTCGACGTGATGGCCTCGGACGTTCGTGAGTGAAGAAAGAGAGAATGATTAGGGGGAGGATAAGTAGCGAGACGCGTAGAGGAGTTAGAGTTGTGCTAAGCTGATCGATTCGGGTGGTATAGTTCGTAGAAACTGCGTAGAGAGGAGTCGATGAACCCAGACGCACGGTGAAACTACGTGCATAGGATGTAAAGTTGTTGCAAACTGCTATCTTTCTGTCCAAGTTGCAACCGTGCAAGGACGTAATTGAAATCTCTGCTCCAGGTGGTTGAACTCTTGTCCGTGACCTCTCATTCGTGATCCACAGCATTAGTAGCCAAGTACGATTGGACTGTGGAGCGAGGAGTGGAGGGGCAACGAGCAGATACAAACACAAGAAGGAGAGAGAGAGAGAGCAGGYTGTTCGCAGCCAATCGGGCGGGGCCGGGCTGGTCGCAGATTGTTCGCAGCGAGTTGAGTGAATGAATGTGGCAGGTTGAGTCGGATTGCAGGGCATGCTCGCACGATGCCGAGGGAACTAGTCGTTCCTTGCCCGTGCATAGTGAGGATTGACATATTGAGAGTTTTTTATTCCTGATTCTATGGGTGGTGGTGCATGACCGTTCTCAGTGATGGAGTGATTTGTCTGGTTAGTCCCGTTAACGAACGAGACCACAACTTGCTGAATGGCTAAGCGGGGACCTTTCCTCATGGCCAGCTTCTGAGAGAGACTGTTGGACGACCAGCCAATGAAAGTTTGAGGCAATAACAAGTCTGTGATGCCCTTTGTAAACTCACCGGGTCCAGACACAGCAAAGGCGGGCAGGTTGAAAACCCTTCTTTGAGTCTACGGACCGATAGAACGACTGTTATTTGCATGCTCAKAACTGTGGACGGTTGGCGAACATTTGTTGCGGTCCAAGGATCAGGTGGCAAACTGTAGTAGTTGGGGGTTACTRCTACAGTAACTACTACCGTAGACTCAGAGAAGTGCCCTTGTTGTAAGTTTGAAAATCAACAACTAGGCGGTCCGACATTCGTTTGAACGAGCTGCTGGTTGTTGGTAACCATTGCCAGTGCTGGGGACTACGGACCGCTGTGTGCCACTGTCGTGACTGCTGCATACCATTGAGTACCGCTGCTGCCATGGCTGACTGTTGCAGACTGCTATACGACGGCGGCTGTTCTTGGGGAAAGGTGGCTGCTGCTGCAGCTCAGTGGAATAGTGGCGAAGGAGGTTAGTGYTGTGATTCGGGAGGTCGGCGGAGAGCAGACTTTGACAATTTGACTACCGCATTGACTAAGTTGTTTTTACTTTGGCCGTCATTGCGGGGCCCTCAGGCGCATCCAGGTTTCAAGGCCCTCTCCTGCGAGTCTGAGAGCACTCCCCTTGGATCTGAGAGTCTGAAATCTTTCTCTTTTTGTCTTTTTTACTCTAAATCTAGTCCTCTGGTTCTTAGAGGAAGGCGGCAGACGGGATTGCAACCCGTAATCTGCGCCAAGACCTCTGTGGGAGGTTCGCCCCACCGATTGCGGGAGCTCCGCCGGAGCCTAGGCGAGGCTCTGGAGGAAGGGAATTGAAAGCTAATCATTGTTTCCCTTACAAACCCAGTATAACCCCTATCTATACACCTCCCCATGTATTGGTTGATTGGGTTGTATGCAACACTTACTTTGACTTTTTGGATTGACTTTTGGGATACAAAGTCAGACTAATTAAAGGAATGCATGTATAACGACAGTTTCAGTTTCTTGTTTGTCTGAAGGTAGATTATCACAGGGGGTTGCATCAGGGGGAAGGTTGGGAGGAAGGCAATTCTGCTTGCGATTGAATGRATCTTATAGGGTCAGGCATTGTTTCTAAGATGAATGGCCTGACTGCTATGTTTTGTTTTGTTTTCTGAAGGACCAAGCATCGTTTCTAAGATGAATGGTTTGGTTGCTGTGTTTCTTTAATTGTGTCTGGCATTGTTTCTAAGATGAATGGCCTGACTACTTACTTCTGAGGGGTATTGTTTGCTTGACTTTTGAGGACCAGACATTGTTTCTAAGATGAATGGTCTGGCTGCTGTCTACTTGGGTGGTTTCTGAATAGTCTCTGGGTCAGACCAAGGGTACTCTGTTTTTTTGTGTGTGCTGAAAAAGGGAGAGCTGAGCATTGTTTCTAAGATGAATGGCTCATCTCTCCTTGATTGTTTTATTCTGAGGGAGGATCCAGGGTCAGAGGACTAGACATTGTTTCTAAGANAGAGCCTGGCTCAGCGGGCAGACCATTGAACTGTCGAAATACAGGCCTGGGTCTGAGCCCAGAAGGTGGAACTGGGGGTTGGGGCTGGATGTCTCCGCGGACCAGGCATGGTCCTTCGGGACAAAAATTGGAACGATACAAAGAAGATTAGCGTGGCCCCTGCGCGGGGAGGGTATGTGTAAAGCGGAGGAGGGGCCGTGCGCTCTTGCTTCCCTCCTCCGCCAGTTATCGGTTTCACCAGAGTCAGAGGTTGGTCGATCCAGCAGGCGGGTCGCTGCGCACTCCTTAGCGGAGCTTGACTTTCGAGGCCACCGCCCTGATATCTGTGTCAATCGACACTTCGGTGATGTCGGGGCTAGTGCATAGTTCAGCCACGGTTCRGCGCTGTAGCAGCGGCCAGTGTAGGAGTACGGAGGCAGTGACGGAGGGGAGGAATCTGGCCTGGTTCAGTGCCAGGGTACATGCGAAGAGAGGGGGTGAGTAACGTGCGCTAAAATAAGCAAGGAGAGGCTGGTGGGGAGGCAAAAACGGGGAATGAACCCGGATGGGTTCCCGCACCGGGGACATGCGCAGAGTAGTAAGGGGGGTTGGGCCAGACAGTGAGGCAAAGGTCGAGCGCCTCAGCGYCGAGTGCTGTTGAGCGGGCTKGTGTCGCAGGTAAGTCCCTATACTCCCCCTGTCGGACCTCGGAGTTCCCGGCTGTCGTAACGCTGATGGGCATCGACTGCGCTGGGCGCTGCCGGATTGCTACTTGGTGAAGGCTGCATAGTAGTATGCGGAGTAACGGGGCGCAGCACTGCTGCTGAGTAAGGCGGAGCAGTGCGCTTGACTGTTGAGCCATGAATACCTCCAGGTGTTGTGGGAACTATGGACTGCATGGAGTAGAAAGGGGGGTTGAATGAATATGGGCGTCGTTTCCTCCCAGGTGCATTCGACAGTGGAGGCTATCGGAGATGGCGGGGCAGTGAGCCAGGGCGCAGCAAGGGAATGGGAGCGCACGTTGTACTTCATAGTTTTMGACGAGGAAAGAAAGGCGTGGCGAAGTTGATTATGAGCGGAATCGAAACAGGAGGAGGGATAGCTGTGTATCGAAGACTACCCCTTTGCCCGGTGCGTGGTTCAATATGTTGGAGGGAGCAGCTTTGATCGATCCCGTCGCGGGGCGCCGCTTGGGAAATAGGGTGTATCTGTCCGCGTTTTAGCGAAAGATTCATTCTATTTCTGCCCGCCATCACCATGGGAGTTGAGACGGGCCAGCATCGGGGTTGGAGACTTGCCGGGTGACCGGAGCATTGTTCGTCTTGAAGAAAAGAGCATCTGGACATCTTCCCTCTCCTTCTCCCTCATATCACACGTACACTAACAATCTAGTTAAACGGTCGGGATTATTRCGCCACGTGGAAGTGCACGAACGTGGTCGACGTGATGGCCTCGGACGTTCGTGAGTGAAGAAAGAGAGAATGATTAGGGGGAGGATAAGTAGCGAGACGCGTAGAGGAGTTAGAGTTGTGCTAAGCTGATCGATTCGGGTGGTATAGTTCGTAGAAACTGCGTAGAGAGGAGTCGATGAACCCAGACGCACGGTGAAACTACGTGCATAGGATGTAAAGTTGTTGCAAACTGCTATCTTTCTGTCCAAGTTGCAACCGTGCAAGGACGTAATTGAAATCTCTGCTCCAGGTGGTTGAACTCTTGTCCGTGACCTCTCATTCGTGATCCACAGCATTAGTAGCCAAGTACGATTGGACTGTGGAGCGAGGAGTGGAGGGGCAACGAGCAGATACAAACACAAGAAGGAGAGAGAGAGAGAGCAGGYTGTTCGCAGCCAATCGGGCGGGGCCGGGCTGGTCGCAGATTGTTCGCAGCGAGTTGAGTGAATGAATGTGGCAGGTTGAGTCGGATTGCAGGGCATGCTCGCACGATGCCGAGGGAACTAGTCGTTCCTTGCCCGTGCATAGTGAGGATTGACATATTGAGAGTTTTTTATTCCTGATTCTATGGGTGGTGGTGCATGACCGTTCTCAGTGATGGAGTGATTTGTCTGGTTAGTCCCGTTAACGAACGAGACCACAACTTGCTGAATGGCTAAGCGGGGACCTTTCCTCATGGCCAGCTTCTGAGAGAGACTGTTGGACGACCAGCCAATGAAAGTTTGAGGCAATAACAAGTCTGTGATGCCCTTTGTAAACTCACCGGGTCCAGACACAGCAAAGGCGGGCAGGTTGAAAACCCTTCTTTGAGTCTACGGACCGATAGAACGACTGTTATTTGCATGCTCAKAACTGTGGACGGTTGGCGAACATTTGTTGCGGTCCAAGGATCAGGTGGCAAACTGTAGTAGTTGGGGGTTACTRCTACAGTAACTACTACCGTAGACTCAGAGAAGTGCCCTTGTTGTAAGTTTGAAAATCAACAACTAGGCGGTCCGACATTCGTTTGAACGAGCTGCTGGTTGTTGGTAACCATTGCCAGTGCTGGGGACTACGGACCGCTGTGTGCCACTGTCGTGACTGCTGCATACCATTGAGTACCGCTGCTGCCATGGCTGACTGTTGCAGACTGCTATACGACGGCGGCTGTTCTTGGGGAAAGGTGGCTGCTGCTGCAGCTCAGTGGAATAGTGGCGAAGGAGGTTAGTGYTGTGATTCGGGAGGTCGGCGGAGAGCAGACTTTGACAATTTGACTACCGCATTGACTAAGTTGTTTTTACTTTGGCCGTCATTGCGGGGCCCTCAGGCGCATCCAGGTTTCAAGGCCCTCTCCTGCGAGTCTGAGAGCACTCCCCTTGGATCTGAGAGTCTGAAATCTTTCTCTTTTTGTCTTTTTTACTCTAAATCTAGTCCTCTGGTTCTTAGAGGAAGGCGGCAGACGGGATTGCAACCCGTAATCTGCGCCAAGACCTCTGTGGGAGGTTCGCCCCACCGATTGCGGGAGCTCCGCCGGAGCCTAGGCGAGGCTCTGGAGGAAGGGAATTGAAAGCTAATCATTGTTTCCCTTACAAACCCAGTATAACCCCTATCTATACACCTCCCCATGTATTGGTTGATTGGGTTGTATGCAACACTTACTTTGACTTTTTGGATTGACTTTTGGGATACAAAGTCAGACTAATTAAAGGAATGCATGTATAACGACAGTTTCAGTTTCTTGTTTGTCTGAAGGTAGATTATCACAGGGGGTTGCATCAGGGGGAAGGTTGGGAGGAAGGCAATTCTGCTTGCGATTGAATGRATCTTATAGGGTCAGGCATTGTTTCTAAGATGAATGGCCTGACTGCTATGTTTTGTTTTGTTTTCTGAAGGACCAAGCATCGTTTCTAAGATGAATGGTTTGGTTGCTGTGTTTCTTTAATTGTGTCTGGCATTGTTTCTAAGATGAATGGCCTGACTACTTACTTCTGAGGGGTATTGTTTGCTTGACTTTTGAGGACCAGACATTGTTTCTAAGATGAATGGTCTGGCTGCTGTCTACTTGGGTGGTTTCTGAATAGTCTCTGGGTCAGACCAAGGGTACTCTGTTTTTTTGTGTGTGCTGAAAAAGGGAGAGCTGAGCATTGTTTCTAAGATGAATGGCTCATCTCTCCTTGATTGTTTTATTCTGAGGGAGGATCCAGGGTCAGAGGACTAGACATTGTTTCTAAGATGAATGGTCTAAGTCTGAGGCCTCAKGACCATAATGAGAACAAGGAAATAGGACTTTCTATATGTTTATATCTATATGTATATGAGAACAAGGCTAGTCAGGCATTGTTTCTAAGATGAATGGCCTGACTATAGCCTTATCACAAGCGAAGAGAGTATAATCAAGAGTTGTAAGTGAAGGTAACTTGGGCCGACTGAGTATTGTTTCTAAGATGAATCGCTCAGTCCTACGCTCATTCTTGAAGATTAAGTTCAGAGAAGTATATATTATTTGGCTACTTAAACAGTTCAGGGCGACTAAGCATGGTTTCTAAGATGAATGGCTTAGTCATGTGCCCCAATGAAGAGAAAAGTAGTTGTGCAGCCTGTTCGTGTATAATTAAGGCAGAGGGTTGGCATTGTTTCCAAGATGAATGGCCAATCCCAATTCCCTATGTAAGCCAGGAGTAAAGGGTTAAATAATTGAAAGACTATGAACTATTGTTTGCGAAACCGACTTAGGGATGGTGAGAGTACTTACCTTTGTGGTTTGGCCTGCATGTGGCTGAGTGAGGTTACTACTTGGTCTGAGTTTCAGTTGACAGGTAGTTGCTTTAGAGGCTCGCCACGTGCTAGAGTGATAGGAGTTAGCTCAATTTCTGCATTTTCTAGGCTAAGATTTTTTTTACTTAGATCAGTTCTCACATTTTCTGAGATCTTTTGTTATACTTGACTTTATATAAATCTCCATAAGCTACTTTCCCTACGGGAAGCGCTGCCTAAATTTCTGCAAATCCAAGGAGTTAGTCAAACTTCTGACTTTTCAAAGTTCAACTTGTCTAAGGTTCGTATATGACTTAGTAAAAATCTGGAAAGTCTCCTTTTCTAAAAGGAGTGCTGCCCAAATTTTTGCTAATTTAGGGAGTTAGACCAAATTGGACTTTGGAAAGTCAAAGACTATTTTTGGTTTCATATTCGGGCTGACGTAAATTCTGAAAAGGCATTTTTCCTACGGGAAGCGCTGCCAAAATTTTCTTGATTTAAGAGGAGTTGGATTATATTTTGATAGGTGGTGATTATGGCGATCCACCCTGAATAGGGCCCTGAATAGGGGAGATTACGTCAGGGTCTACCTTTGCTTTGGGCACTGTTTAAAGGTAGATTTAGGATGATTCGAGTGGGATCGTGATATGGGGATTATTCTCCATGGGCTTATAGGTTTATCCTGGCGATTGACCTGTCTTGTGTTACAAGTCCTCTTGACCGTTCAATTTAGGATCTGGATTAGGTTCAGCTTGATCCCGGGAGGATCCTCTTCTGTTATCACTGATAACAGGTCAGTTGCCGATTCGTCGGTGTACGATTCAACTCCAATTCACTCTTGCCACTCAACCTAAAGGCTTTAGCTCTGTGGTGTGAACTGTTTCATTGTGTTTTCACTCGGACTTTATTGAATGGTCATTTAACAAAAGTACTGAGTATTTATTTTGGGGAGTTGCACGAGAGTGAGGTTTGTACGGCTAAAGCAAGGGATATGAGTATAGAGAATGGTTGAAGTTGACCCCGTGTAGTGCGTGGACTTCTTGATGAATCTTTGATGTGATTGCATGTATGTGCGTGGTTCGGATTCTTGATGTGGCTGCCTACGATTACATACATATATGGCTGAGAGGAGTCTCACAGTGACTGTGAGAAGTGATCGTCCTATATAAATAAGCCTTATATATATATATTTATATGTGCATTGGGCATGCGCTCAGCTTATTATGACCGTGCGCAAGGGTTAGCCAGATTATGGCTCGAGAGAAAAAGAGAGAGAATTTTTCATCCTTTGTTTTTTAAGAGATTTTTATAGTTGGACGTTATAGTCCGTGGCAGCCGTCAAAGTCAAACCCCTTGATGTTCGACCACCACGACAGCTTAAAGTTGTCTACTCAACCCCTCTGCACAATGTGCAGAAGAGGGTGTGTGGTCTTCAACTGCGCTTGGCGGTTGTCCAGCGTCGAGAGATTAACCCTCAAGGCTCGTATCAGCCGACACTCGAGTGTCGAATACGACCCTCGAGATTAACGAGGACCGCATGATTATGGGTACTACATAGTACGTCATCATTGCGACTGCTTGCGTGCGTTTGCATTGCGAGTCGATATGAGTTAGCCCTCCGTCCGCGCGGTTTTATACTAAGGTTCGCGCACGACGCCTATTCGATTTCCGCGTCGGAAAGTTATGGGACGACTACTGAAGGGACTAGGAGTGTTGTCGCGTTGTTCGATGTGTGTGTGTGTTTTATTTTTTTGTGTTCGTAAAGTGGTGTGCGCGTGGTGTGTGGGATGCGTCCTAGT